CAGGGAGAGGCTATGAAAAAGTCATATTAGAAATCAGCAGTCGTCTACCGTGAGAACCAAAACTGTGTGAGGAAACAGCTTTGTTATCCTAAGTTCTGTAACTGAGCATTTCCCGGATCAAAGCAATTCCTTAATTCAACGAGAACCTGTAGGTCACCTCTCTGTGCCCGGCAAGGCACCCTGCGTGCTCCAACCTTACTGCCTCTGAGGTCATCCACTTCCATCCTCTGCCCACTCTCCAAGATTAAACTCTGTGGGAAGTGACCTCCAAAAGGCGACGTTGCTCACGGCCATGAGATGTGACCACAGCGTTAGATGTGACTTGAACGGGCTACTGAGAACAGCGTCCAGGGAATCTCTGCGCCAGTCTCTGCTCCCTTTCTAAGCCGCGTGGCTTTGGGAAGTCACGCAACCTCTCTGAGCTTCCATTTCCTCAACTGGAGGTGGTTAGCATTCATGGAGTCTTCCTCACAAGGCTGTTGTGAGGCACAGATCGCTTTGAAAACTATCAAATGGTCAGAGAGAGGGAAGAGAGCCCCATTTTGACAGCGTTTGGGAGTCCAACAAGCAGCGTTCAGCGGCTGGGAGGCCAGGGCCAAGGGACCTCTGCACTCCGGGCCGCGAGTTCCTCGCTGGAAAACAGGAGCGTGGTCAGAAGTGTGTGGGCGGGGAGAGGGTGAGCCTGCAGCCCGCGCGGGGCGGGACGGGGCGCCAGCTGGTAAATTACGACGACTGCAGAGGCTCCTGCGCGCGCCGTTTCCATGTTAGCGCAGGCCTTGGAAAGGGGCTGCAAGAGCGCAAGCCTCCCCGACCCCGAGTGCGCTCGGGTCCTGTTCCTTACCCAGCGAGGTTCCGGCTGGGCCTGTCTCCGACTCATCTGTCCTAGGAGCGGCCCCGTGAGACCCCCGGAGGCTGCGGAACGCGGCCCCCACCTGCGCGCTGCAGCCGCTTCCACTGCTCGCCGCCGCTCCCGCCTCTGCCCGCCCTTCCCGCTGCAGACGGGCCCCCTGGGAGTTGTTCACTCTCTTGCTCCCCCACTAAGTTCTATTTCCTTTTCTTAAGTGGTTTACAATCCTCTGAGTCGTTTTACAATTTCGGGCCAATCTCACTGTAAATATTTCTCTTTTCTTGGGATTTCTTGTTGCAAGAAGGCCTGCTTTCTCCTTCCTAAAAGAACAAGCACACCCATACCAACCAATATGCACCGCCCTGCACAGGTCTGGGGAGAGGGAGAGAGGTTTCCAGAACATTAAGGAGACGTGGACATAGCCCTCGGGGCACTGTGCCAGGGAGAGGCTTCTTGGAGTGCAGGCAGAAATGCTAGGCAGGCAGGGCTGGGGTTTCAAGGCAGCTCCTGAGACGGGGAGAGGCTCCCAGGATTTCTTTGTTGCTTCGTTTATAGGCAAAAAGGAGAAAATGGAGCATCCTGCATCTTAGCTGGAGGGTCTTAAGACAATGCGGTTATACCACTGGGTCTAATAGGAAATGGGAAAATGCAGGCATGGGTTGGTGTTTCTGTTTATTGAAATTCTTTGGAAGATGCTGGCTTCACACCAAAAAGGAAGATGTCTTAGAACAAGAGTGGGGCAGGGTGTGGGCACAGACTCAGTGCCACAAAAGGCACAGACTCAAGCACCACATGACACGTGACAAGGACAGGAGCCCCCACTTAGAGCGAGAAGACGGGTTTCATCACTTCTCAGCTTGTGGCCTGGATGAAGTCACTTAACCTCTCTGAACCTCACTTCTTGATCCGTGAACTGCAGGTGATAATACCTGCCTTGCTTACTTTACCACATTGTTAAAAGGTCTGTAAGAGAAGAACTTTGTGAACGATAAAGCAATCTGAGTGCAGTGTGATCACAATATGAACGTCTCACTCGGTGTCAGTTGCTCTGGAAGAAAAGTTGGTTTGTAGTGAAAGAAGATGCAGCATGAGCGAGATTGTAAAGGCAATGGGAAGTTTAAAAATAGGTTGGTGAGATCACAGTAATAACAGAAGGGCACTGTTGAGGAGAGGGTGCTAAAGAATGGAGAAAATAACTAGGACCTGAGCAGGAAGTTTATCCCTGGCGACTGAGCAGGAGGAGGTGTTGCCGGGTCCCACGGGAGGAAGCTGGAGGTTATGTTTGCTGATGTGCAGAGGAACGGGGTCAGGGGAACAGCTTTGATGTGAGCATTTTCCATGAGTCACCATCTCGTCCATATTGAAGATCACATGCAAAAGCCAGAGTCAGGAGCAAGATACCAAAGCCAAGGCTAGGACTGAGCATGAGGACCGACGGGGAAGACGCACCGGGCTGGGAGGACCAGGATGGCGAAATGAAGTGGACATTCCAGGCGAGTTCTGCGAAAGCCCAGCAGGGGGCGTGGGAGGAGGTCGGCCGAGCCCAGAGGCGCCTGATCACAGGTGCTGGACCCGCCATGAAGATGGGGTGGAGGCCAAGAAGATCAGATCTGAAGGAGCTAGAATCCTAGGCGCAGTGGTCCGGGTGCCCCTCAGCCAGGAAGGAGACCTCGCAGGCCTCCTGGAACAGGACCAGAGCTGCAGAGCAAAAGGAGGTCCGATTCCCAGGAGTGAGCCAGTGGCTGCGTTTAGGTCTTGCTCTTCCAGAGAGCAACCAGAGACAGTGAGCTCCTGTGCCTCCTTAGTCCCCAGCCCTACGCCTGTGCCTGGCACACAGAAGGCACTGGCTCAGTGTTCGTTGGAGTAAACCAACAAATGAATGACAAATGAATACGGTCAGATTGAAAACACCCAAGAAGCCCTGCATTGTGTTCCCCTTTTTGGTGGCTTTGGCAGCCATTGGCTGTCTTTCTGGTGAGAGCTAATGGGCAGACTGTCTTATTGTCCCTCCCAAGGACTCCTGGCGGTCTAGCACGTCCCTGGTCCCCCTCCCGTCTCTCGGTATGGTGTCCGCCCGCAGGATGGTCGTGTCTCACTTGGAGGCTCGTTTCCCTGGCAACGCACTTCTACATTACGCCATTCTCAACTGGCCTCTAGTTCCCAGGCACTGTTGTACTTTATCCAAATTTCTAACCATGGCAATTCCTAGCCGTATTTACATCTAGTCTTGATACAGAATCTCTTAAATTAAAGGAATTTTGTCTTCTCAGAAATTAACTTTAAAAATGAATTTAAACGCATTTTAAACTAGAAATATAGAATTTCTTCACAACTTCCTTGCCAAGAAACACCTCTTCTTGTCAGTCATTTTCATTGACTCTTTCCAAAACTGTTTTCTCCTCATATGTTGAAAGCCAGCCCTGAAAAGAGTCTCTAGGAGAAGCATTTGGTTCCAAAAATAATGTCTGTCTCTCATACTTTCACCTGCCTCAGTAGACTCTGTCCCCACTGCTCACTGCCATCATCAGGCTGCTGTTGTCTCACCGTCAAGACTGAAGAAGACCTGGACATCATCGCAAGCAAATGTAGGAACAAAAGTCACAGTGAACACTTAATTTTGTTTTACCATGTCATTTTTGTTAGACTGGTCCATTTGTGTTTTCTAAGGCCCTAACATGGTTTTCATCCCTTGAATAAGGATGGATCTTGCTGACCCATTCTCTATTCATATCGCGTATATATATTTTTAACCATAGTCTGTTCTTCGACTGTAAGACTTTGTTTTGTTTTTGTTTATTGATACAAGGTCTTGCTCTGTATCCAAGGCTGGGTGCAGTGCACAAAATCAGCTCACTGCAGCCTCAAGCTGCCAGGCTCAAGTGATCCTCTCATCTGAGCCTCCCAAGTAGCTAGGACTACAGCTGTGTGCCACAACATCTGGCAATTTTTTTTATGTCTTGCTTTGGTTTTTGTAAAAAAAGAGGTTTCACTACATCACCCAGGTTAGTCTTGAACTCCTGAACTCAAGCAATCTTCTTGTCTTGGCCTCTGTAAGTGTTCAGATTGCAGGTGTGAGCCACCACTCCCAGGCTATAAAATCTGTAAGACTTGTAAGAAACACTCAGATGGGGGCCACTAATGCTGGTTGAGGATCACCTCACATTTTCTTTTCAAGGTGAACTGTTACCTCTTCTGGCAGAACTATCTGCCACACGTATACTACTTGCAGCCCGTGTGCATAGGCATGCCCTCAGTGCAGCAGCTGATCCTATTCCTCACTTAAGGTCCTTAACCACCATTCTGTGCCTTCCCATAAAACACCACATTGATTCCCACATTTGGTATCTCTGTATATATGGCCTCTGATGGCTCAGTTCAATGTATTGCTGAGGTCTTCTGTCTAGGTCCTGAACATCATCTCAAGCAAATGTAGGTCCTTTCCTCAATGCTTAATGAGCCGCTATGTAGCAAACCATTTATTGTGGCTAAGGCATTATCCCAGATTCCTTAGAACAACTTCTCTCTGACTGTATCAAAAACCCGATGTTGATTTCTCCTACCCTTTTTTGTCTGCATTGAGAGCTGCGCTACACACAAAGATATAAAAGTTTCATTCTAACTGTGCAGCTGTGCTATGACCGACTCCTAAGTGTTATGTTCTGAAGAGTTGATTCTGCATAATGCACATAGTGTGATTCTTGAAGGGAAAATTCTTTGCTGGTTGTTCACTGTACCAGGTTGAATTGTGTCCCCCCCAAAAGATAGATTCAAGCCTGATATGGTTTGGCTGTGTCCCTATCCAGATCTCATCTTGAATTGTAGCTCCCATTATCCCCATGTGTTGTGGGAGGGACCTGGTGGGAGATAATTGAATCATGGGGTGGCTTGCCCCTTACTGTTCTCACGATAGTGAGTAAGTCTCACGAGATCTGATGGTTTTGTAAGAGAAAGCCCCTTTCACTTGGCCCTCATCCTGTCTTATCTGCTGCCATGTAAGACATGCCTTTCACCTTCCTCCATGATTGCGAGGCCTCCCCAGCTATGTGGAACAGCGAGTCCACTAAACCTCTTTTTCTTTATAAATTACCAAGTCTTGGGTATATCTTTATCAGCAGTGTGAGAAAGAAATAATACAAAGCCCTAACTCCCAGTACCTATAAATATAATCTTATTTGGAAATAGAGTTTTTGCAGACATAATAAAATTAAAATCAGGTCATACTGGATGACGGTGGACTGTAATCCAATAACTCTGTTCTTACAGGAAGAAAGAACATTGGACACAGAAAGAAGACCATCATGTGAAGTCAGAAGCAGAAATTGGTTTATGCCACCATAAACCAGGGAATGCTGGGGAGTGCGAGCAACTGCAGAAGGCAGAAGAAACAAGGGAAGGTTCTTCACTAGAGATTTTGGAGGGAGCATGATTCTGCTGACACCTTGAATTTGGCTTGAATACATTCACCAGCTGAAAAACTAGATAAAGGGGAGAGGTTTGAATTCTCTGGAATCTTCCTGCCTGCAGGGTTCAGCCCTGCCAATGATAAATAGGAATTTGTTCTTTGGGTGATAACACTTTCTCTACTTTTAAGAGAGAGAAACCTTCTCTACTTTTGTGAGAAAAAAAAAAATGCTAGAGAGTTCTTCCTTTCCTGGCATGTGGTAATATTGTTGTCCACAAGGCATTAGAGACTTATATTTGAGATAGTGTCTAAATATTTATAACTCCTCCTGGGGATGAATGTTTGACTTCCTAATGAGGGGCCACTTGAGAGCTACCTTCCCTCATTCCCAGCTTGTGATGCCCATTAGCCTATAAGGGCAGCAGGCAATTTGGGGATTGGCTGTGATAAGTAATGGGAGTTGTAAATGTTCCATGTAAATTCTCTCCCAGGGAAAAGCTCTGAACCAAGTGCTTTTAAATTAGTTTTTGTTTTGTTTTTGGAGAAGGAGCTCCAGAGCTGAGGGGTGATGGAGAAGCTGGAGTAGAGATGAAAGCAAATGTAGCGATTTGTTAAGGAAACAGTGGTGACAGCCAACATTGTGGAGTGGGGAGGAGGGTTAAGGGATGCTGCAGCAACAGAATTGGTTGGGTGTTAGAGAGCAAGAGAATTACAAATAAAGCTAACTTGTAAGCTGAGAAAATCAGGAAAATACTTGGGTCACTCACTGTGGTGGGGAATTGGTATTTGAGATCAGGAAGGGCAAGGAATGGGAGATGAGCATGAAGATCTATCAGACTCACTGGCTAATAGAGCTTGATAGCATTCTCAAGGCCATTGCCACTAGTTGCCCATTTTAAAGATGAGGAAACTGAGTCCCAGAAAGGTGAAGCTAACTCATCCAAAGTTCCATAGTTAGCAAATGGCAGAGCCAAATTCAGAATCCAGGACTCCTATCATTGTCCCATACTCTTTCCAAATTAGAAATCAAGAACCAGAAAAAGTGGGAGGGCTTATCTAGATTTTGTAGCATTTCATTTTACAGCTGGTTACACACAACTTCCTCATAGGAGACGGTATGGGACAGAGGTCACAAACTGAAAGCTTATGGTTTGACCTCCACTCATTTTTAAATTAATACTCTAACTTATGTCTAACATTGAAAGATTAGGCAAGTTCCCATACCAATCTGGATTTTTGGCTGCTCTGGGAAAAACCAGTTGTTTTGTCAGAGATTTAGTAAGAGCCACCCTCCTTTCAAGATGAGGCATTGTCTAGTTTACCCTCATCACCTTGGTTGGCTTCATATTATCCACCTGAATCCTCTAGACCCTGTTTTGCAATCCCTGGGAGGGCAGAAGGAAAGCAGAGACCCTGAGCCCCAGACTGACAGTTGAGATTGTAAATGACAGGGGTGAAGGGAAGTGACCAAAGGAGCGCAGAACAATGAGGAACTGAGCCCCGAGGCCACAGAAGCAAAAGGTCTTGTCCAGGAATTCAGGGACAGTGTTTTCATCTATTTTTAGTTAAAGTAACAGGATGTGGGAACCAAAAAAGTGGTCAATTCTCTAATACCGCACAATGGTGATGACTTATGCAAAATATCCTCTTTCCTATTTTTAACTAGTTACAGAAGCTGCGTCAGAGGACTTTGCTGCTGACTAATCCTGTTGAGGCATCTTTCTCTGAATTGCATAAATGTCATCTACACAGCCTAGAGAACATTTGAGAAAAAGAAAAACTGTAAAGACTACTGCATACGGGGCATTCTTATAAATAGTGTTCTGAGTGGGATCGGGGTGTTCTGGGCCACAGCTTTCCGGAAGTTGTCTAGGATTTCATGGTTGAAGAATGTGGACAGAGAAATCATTCATTTTGTAAGCTGAATTAATGATCCCATGATTTTTTGCACTATAAGAAACAGTGAGGACTCTTTAGAATTATGTTGCTTTTTCAGAAAAACGATTTTCTAGTTGTGTAGATATCCCTGCACTAGGTAGGAATAGGCTTTTTATTGGAGAAAGGAATCATAAATGGCAACAGAGGTTTCTCAATGTGTTATAGATAACTTGTGGGCAAGTTAGCCTTTGTGTGCCTCCGTTTTCTCATCTATAAAACAGTAACAGCAGCACATCCTCTCTCATGGGGTTTTGGTGAGGATTAAATGAAATAATTCACTAAAAACAGTGTCTGATGCCTAGTAAGGGCTTACTAACTAATAACTATTATTACATTTTCTATGAATAACTGAATTAAGAGAGAGAAATGCCTTGGCTAAGCTACTTGGTAGCAGTATCAGATAGAGGCCAGTTCTTCCAAATTTTAATGCAGTACCCTTTCTTTTAAACATGTTTGTAAACAACTTATTATTTATTTTCTAGTGCATATTAACATTTCTTCTTATAAGATATACTACACCTACTGTTTCAGTACAAACATACTTCCACAATGGTTTCCTTTGGAAAAACAATTTTGATTGATTTATTTTACTCCCTAATTAATATATCACATTTACAGTGACAGTACTGCTCGATTTGAAAAAAGCAAGACTTTCAATTTTCAGATCTTCACTCACTGACATTGCAGTCTGACCTTAAGCCATATGAAATTACACGTGACATTTAGAATTGAATAACTATTCTGATTGCTTCTTTGTGTCTGTGGAGAAAATAACATTTATTTTGACCAAATGTTATCTTTTCCCTTTTTCATCAAATAAATTGTACTTAGGACTGGAGAGCTTCTGTTGTTCTTTATGATTCATTGATCAACCGTGAAAGAACAAACAAATCAAATGCTGAAACTTGGGTTACAGTCCCTTGGTGATTCTCTCCAGGACACTGCTGTCTCCCAAAGAATCATAGGCCTAAAGAGATGGCAGAGATTTTAGAGATTCTTCAGCTAAACGTCTTGATCTTTATACATGAGAAAACTGAACTCAGAGAGGTGACATGACTTATAAAGTCATCCAGCTAGCTGGTGGCAAAGAGAGATTTTGAACCTTGTTTTTTCTGACCAAGTCCCCATTGCATCATGTCCTGCACCAACTCATGTATTTCTAAAAAACTTTTCTGTATTATCAGATGTTGAAGAATAGCCGCAGGCCATGTCCAGCTTGCCACTTGTTTTTGCAAATAAAGTTTTATTGGAACACAGCCATGCTTGTTTGTCTATTTATTGTCTATGATTGCTTTCTTGCTACAATGACAGAGTTGAGTAGTTACATCAGAGCCACTCTGACTGCAAAGCCTAAGATATTTACTGTCTTGCCCTTCGCAGAAAAAGTTTGCCAACCCTTTATTGTATATCAAGCTTCATTGAAATTTTTTTTTTTTACTCTTTTTGTATAAGACTCTATTGTCAAAAGTTGAAGAAAGTAGGGTTGAGCAGGGAATTATGGGAAAAAAGAAAGAGAAAGAAAAGAGCTAACATTGGTAACATTTATTTATCTAATTTGAGACAGGAAGTATTCTAGAGGCCTTATATATGTGATCTCATTTAATTCTCAAAAAGATGCTGGGAGACTGATATTTTCAGTCACATTCTGTAAATAAGAAAACTGAGGCTCAGAAAAATAACAGTTAAGTTGCTAAGTTTATGTCCCTAACAATTAGCAGAATGAGGATTTGAACCAGCCTTCTCCATTCTAAGATTCTCTGTTCTTTCTGTTATATTATGTGGTTGATGTAGGCAAGGTTACATTACATTTTCTTAAGAAAGTGCTATACTATCCCCCAAATTGAAATAGTTTAATTAAAAAATAATATTGGAATCAAATCATATTTAAAAAAACAATCTATAGATTAAAATTGTATGATTCATGGTGTTGTCGTGGGTTTTGTTGTTGTGCTTATTTACATAAAGTGAGTTGGACTGCAGATGATGAGAACAATACATTTTTTGAGAAGAAATTTTCATTTTGCATTGTTTTGCATTATTGGAGAAATTTAATGGCTCAGCAACAGGCAGAATCAAAGTCCTGAATGTGTGTTTGCACAGATAATTACATAAATACCATGTAAATGTGTTTTTATTTAATCAGCAATCCCTCCCTCCAAGGCTTGCTGCATTCTCTAAACCAGTAATTAACAAACAGACCTAATATCTGTATCACCCATGAAGTTCCTTAGGATACAGATTTCCAGGACCCTCCCTCTATCTAAGTCAATATATCTGAGTTTAGGTTTGGGTGTCTGTAATTTTATTTTTATTTTTTAACCTCTGGAGATGGTTCTGATGATCAGCCAGCTTGGTAACCATTACCCTAGAGAACAAGTGAGCAGGCAAGGTCTGCATCTTTGCCTCAGCCTTTCCTGGTCTTCCTTTATGTCCTCTAAACCTGTTCACTTCCTGAGTCCCACGCTTTGGTCAGTATGCAGGTTTTTCATTGCCTTTGTCAAAGGAGGCTGAGTGCAGGGGTAGGGGCATCTCACTCACCACACTATGTATTTCCTCAGTATCCAGTAAAGTGGTGCTAACACCTTCTGCCTTAATTGCAGTGACTGTGGCTTGTTATGCTTTTATTTCTGTCATTGCCTTTTTTGCTTTCTATTTGCATTTGACAGAGTACTCCAATGACCAATTCTGATTTCTTCTGCTCCCTGAGTGCAAAAGTAAAGTTCATGGACACTCAGAATCGAGATAATGAAAGGTCATAAATTGTCCCGACTACCCAGTTATTTATCTCCCTTTTCTTTCACTGCAACCACAATGGATTGAAATCAAAAGGGGCTTTGAACTGGGAAAACTTGGAAAAGCCTCAGCCACCTGTTAATTTAAATTTTTCCTCCCCACTGTGTGTGAGTTATATTAGCCTAATATAATACAGGCTTTTAAATATAGACAAATAACTACATTCAACTCACACTCAGTTTTTCAGCCAATTCTTGTCTTCCTTATTATAATCTCAACAATTTACCTCAGTAGTCTTTGCTACTTTTGGGGAATCGCTGTTATTGAGTTTGGATGAGAAAGCTAGTTCTTACTTTCATAAGGAGAGATATGCTTACTTCTTTCTCTTAAGTGAATTAAGACAAAAATATGTAATGTGTGAAGACATCAACATATCTATCCCATATTATAATTATGATTGATTAGGTTCCAACAGACAAAGCAGGAAATACAGAATCTGAGAAGAGGAAATATAACATTTTATATCCCAAATAAAACAATAAAAGAGAACTATTCTCATGAAGGTGTTTAGAATTACCATGTCTGACTTTCAAAGAAAACTGAACTGACAGCAGAGTCAGTAAGCACATCAGAAAGGCACTTGATAGCCCCTAAAAAAATGCAGAACCAGACTGAGATTTGTGAGATGAGAAATGGTGACTTAGGCGATAATGATAATGCAATATACTTTTATAGGCCATTAAAATTAGAGGTGAAAAAAGGGTGCGCTATGAAATTGCCTTGGGCAGTACCTTTCTGCCTCTATAAGATTAACAGAGCACATTTCACAATGGGTGTCTCAAGAAATTTGACTTAACATTCATTTAAATGAAAGTGAATAAGCTGTAATTAAATAAGCATTTCCCATCCAAGTGAGATTGGCCCTAATGAGCAAGTTTAAATCCTGTTTTCAAGATCAGAATTGCCTTTGGTGACAGCACTGCTTTCCAGTCTGTCCTGCCAACAGGGGAGAGCACTTCAGACTGAGGGCAAACGTTCCTAACAGATAAAGACAGCGTGTCCTGTGACTCGTTAAAAGTGATCTGAGGGCTGGGCATGGTGGCTCACGCCTATAATCCCAGCACTTTGGGAGGCCAAGTCAGGTGAATCACCTGATGTCAGGAGTTCAAGACCGGCCTGACCAACATGGTGAAACCCCGTCACTACTAAAAATACAGAAAAAGAAAAACTTAGCCGAGCATGATGGCAGGAGCCTGTAATCCCAGCTACTTGGGAGGCTGGGGCAGGAGAATCACTTGAACCCGGGAGGCAAAGATTGCAGTAAGCTGAGATAGCACCGTTGCACTCCAGCCTGGGTGACAGAGTGAGACCCTGTCTCAAAATAAATAAATAAAATAATAAAAATGAAAGTGATTTGAGGTATAATTAAAGGTGAAAAAGGGCCCACATGTATATTTTCACAAGAATTGTATATAATTTTGATGCACATTGTCCGTAGGCCACCCTGTCATAATTACCAGCCAGATGATTTGCTAAAAGAGGAGAAAACAAGATAGAGGCAAGTAGAGGGCAGAAGTGCAGGTAGTGGTAAGAAGAAACGAGGAGCTGCTAGGAATGGGTTTCAGAAAGAGTTCTTTAATAAGAGGGCAGGGAGAAACTACTATACCAACAAGCATCACACCATTGTTTTTGTTTTTTTTTTTTCATGATTAATATGTTGTCTTTGCTTTCAGGGTTTTTAATGACCACAGCAAGCAAACATGCAGTTTACCCCTTGAAAGACTCTTGCCTCACCCAGGCTGGAGTGCAGTGACCTTTTGAGGCTCACTATAGCCTCAAACTCCTGGGCTCAAGTGATCCTCAGCCTCCCAGTGTACTTTGTAGACAGCCTGATGGAGTCTCATGGCACAAGAAGGTTAAATAATGTCTCCAACTTTAATAAATTTCTGCAATCAAAAAAAAAAAAACAAAAAGAGAGAGAGACCACTGTGGGGGCGATCGCCATGGAAGACATTAGGAAGGACAAAGAGTTTAAAGATAGTTTGCTGGCTTTATATACGTATGTTCCCTTTGGCATCTGCTTGCGAGGCCGTGGTAGAGATTTCAATTGTTTTTGTTTTCTTTTCTTTGAACATTATTCTATGCTGAAACTCACCATCAGGGGACCCAGCTAGAGTCCTGTAACATTGTGACACAGGTCAGATCATGTGGTTTGGCTGGAAGACAGAGCACATAACCATTCACCTGGCAGCTCTTTGGCTTTGAGGTGAAATGAGGCATAACCAGGTGCTGCAAGGTGGGTCTGCAAAATCAGACTCTTGAGAAGACCGTGTCGTTCTCTATTATCTGGCATGAATAGTGACTGCCTTCATAGACCTGAGCATTGCTGATGTGACGTGGTTGAAGAGTACCCGGGGTCTCTCGTGGCTTGTCTGCACTTGCCATGCCCACTTGTTTCTTCCTAATTATTTTCAGGACTGGAAGCCAGAAATGAATCTGAAGAGACAGAAAAGTGGATAAATGAGCATTGGAGTTGGAGTCATTTCAAATGCCTCTGACATAAATTTTTCAGTGTGGGGTTAAAGACATTGGGAAAAACAGCAAAAGACTGAAATGAACAGAAAAAGCTTATCCTTGTGGGTTATGTTGGTCTTCCATTGTCTATGGCTATTCCCCAATTCTGTAAGTTGCAGATGACTGAGAGAAATAATGCAAGTGATTGTTGTCCATGACATGCCCATGAATTCCTCCCAGTAGGGTACAACTAATCCCTCCTATCCACCCTTAAAGAAGATCGCAGTTTTGAACCTATTAAGCAAATTCATTTGCTATTCCTGATGGCCTATATATGTGTGTGTTCTTTGAATTATTCTTTGGTTGTAATTTTTCTGACCACTCCCACATTAATAAATATGTATTAAGTTACATAAAATTTTTGCTATATGTCCATTTTATACATGTATGAGTCATTATGTTTTTATTTATATATTTGTATATATATTATTATTTTTTTATATATCCTCTCTGTATATATACAAACATACACGCACAATGGAAAATGAGCAAATTCTTTGGCATTTACAAAGCTGTAGTAGATATTTCCCTCTTTTTTTTTTTTTTTTTTACCTAGGAAAGTACATCTTATTGTGCTTTGTCCTTTAATAGCCAACACTAAGGACCTCTCCAGTCGCCTCTCTACAATGACTGAAAATACTTACTTGAAACCAATATTTTAAGAATATCTTGTAGTATGCTTTGGACCAGCATTCAAATCACAGAGTTAAGAGTCCTAGCCATGTAAGTTTGCTCATTTTTCCCCAATGTCCTATCTACTGCTGGGATGTAAGTCCTGATGTGAAGCTGAAGCACTAAGTGCTTTGAAGTACCCTTTCCAGTTCCCTCTCAAACTCAAACTTCCTCAACTGGAGGTTACACTGCAATCTTGGCCTTACCTTTGTAAGGTAGAGACTCAGCCGGCTTTTGACTTCTCCCAGCGGCTGCTTTGATCTTTTCTTAAGCATCT